TTCTTTCCAAATTCACTCCTGCGAGTGCCACTTTACGCCTCGATGCGCGCGTGACGGCTTCCCTCGCCGATCGTTCCTCTCGCGTTCAATTTTTTTTTAACAGCCGTGAGAAAATTCTGAGCCTGAATAATAAAATTGCGAAACGTACAGATATGCGCATCTCGCGCGTATGTATACAACAATTCCTGCATTTCTTAATGTTTAATCGACTTTTTAATTTTTTTTACACAGCGCCTTGTCATTCTTTTACTTTAATCACCTTCAACTTCGTTTCGCATGGTAGGAGTCCCCTATTATGAGACAGGCTTCTAATACGAGACAGCGAGATTTCTGCTAAATTAATAGGCATCATCTGTTGGTTCCACCGTGAATTTATTGCCCTTGGAGCGAAATCTGTTTATTAAAGAATTCATTGTTGGATCATGTAATCGTTGCGAAAAAAGATTGTGATTGAATTTGGGTGTTGAAAACCTGCTATCTCATATTAGAAGCCTATCTCGTAATAGGGGACTTTCCTCTTGATATATTATTAAATATAACGATCAACTCCGAATCGATCGTACGGCCATTAGGAACAAAGTATAGTACAGTAAAAATGCAGGTAACATTGCATACGCATAAATAATAATATTGTAAAAAATTATTATACATATAATTTATATATAATAATTTATTAATATTAATAATATTTTTTATTAATATTACAAATTATTATGTACTTTATATAAAAAATATATAATAATTTTTTACATGCGTATATTAATTATATGTAAAATGAATATTATCAAAATTATTGATGCTGCATAATTAACACAGTACTACGTTTTACACGACGGTAAAATTATGGTTTCGCATGATTGTTTCCACATAAGTTGCGAAAGAACGATTTTGAAACCGCCAGATTGCTATTCGCTGTTGTCTGACCGTCGAGGACACGGATATCGTTAACGAATTATCTTAAAAGACATCCAGATGTTAAGCACGAAAAGTATACGATGGCTTATCCATACAGATTGTACAGATACCCAATCTCGCGCTCGTGCGAAACCAGTTGCATTTCAAGTTTCGTCCGGTTCCATATCGCTTCTCTCGCTCTCTGTCTAGATAAGTTAATGAAGTATATTTATTTTGAGGGTACACTTGACTTTGTTAATCCATTGAAGGTTCGAAATTCTGAAGCCGCACGGAGAGACTTTTCTATTAAAATTTACCTTGAAAATCATGTGATCGCGGGACAAGATGGCATTTTGAAGAACTTTGTGGGTCTAATGAAATTTTACCGTTCATTTTACTAGTGCAATGTATGCGAAGTATAATTACTAGTAAAATGTACGGTAAAATTTCGACAAACTCTCATAAATTATTAGAGTTTTTACTAGTAAAATACTCTCATAAATTATTATTTACTGGTAAAATTATTTACTAGTAAAGTCCTCTTTTATGAGATGGGATTTTAACATGGGATAGCAGGGTTTCTGTTAAATTAATAGGCAGTCGATTCCTCCATGAATTTACTGCCCTTGGAGCGAAATCTGTTTAGTGGAAAATTCATTGGTAGATCGCGTAGTCGGTGCGAAAAAAGATTTTTGATTGAATTTGGGCGAGTTTGGGCGATTGAAAACCTGCCATTCTTTCCTCTAATAAATTATTTAGTAGTAAAATGTATGATAAAATTCCAAACCATGTAATCGTAGGACAACCTGGCATTTCGAAGAATTTTATGAGTCTTTTCTTCTCTCTCACGTGTATACTAAATCTTGCAACAAGTCCAATAAGCACATGACGGTGTATTCAGTACCGGCCTTAGGGCGGGGCGCGGCTGGGCGGTCGCCCAGGGCGCCACATCTGTAGGGGCGCCGCTGCCTGGTTTCACCTAGTTTGAGAGAGATTCCCTAAAATATAAAAACAATATGGGGTTCGTCGTTCGATATTATTACCCTGTATTTTCTTTCACAAGAATTTCGAGCCCCTGAATTTGAATGGGCGCCACGATAATCTTGCTCAGGGCGCCAATGTTGTTAAAACCGGCACTGGGTGTATTAAACGTGTTCAAACGCAGTTAACATAAGAGTTGGAATAAAAGCGATAAATTACACCGCTCTTACACTACCTTGCGTTTACTATACCGTCATGTGTTTATTGGAATGTAACATTAATTCCCAGACAGCAAAAGGACGTTACTTGTTATTTTCGACGTTAGTTGACGATAAAACGAGAATATAGCGTCAGCTGTTTACCCAGGTTTACGTGCGGAAAAAAACGTGTAAGGTGCAGTGGGGTAAATCTGTACACGGGGCAAATCCGCACTAGGCCCTTATTTATTCGAATATACGTTGCATTGTACCAACTGTAAGGTAGAAATCTTCCTTTGGTTAGTATTCAATGATCAACATAGGTGGCCGCCATGTATTCTGTGATTCCCCCGTTTAACTCGTTCGAGAAAGTTCATGGTGTTTCCATAATAATTCCGCTTTTGCCCCATAATATGTTCGTTCCGGGTGGACTGTCATCCCGCGCTAGCCTGCTCGGGTTTTCCCCTTGTCTAGGAGAGATGCGTAATTTTCGAGAGAGCGGTTCACACGTCTTCCGACGGAAGATAAAATTTTTGATCCTGCGGGATTGCATCATCCAATAGGGATTGCATCATCCCGCGCGAGGCTCGGTAGTTGGGCCTCTGCATTGTGTGACACGTTAGGAGATTTATATCATCAACTGTAATCTCCACACTATTGCCTATTGGATAGCCATGGCCGTATCGGTTCGCTTAGTGCGACCAAGTGCCAAATAACCGGAGGAAGAAGAAGAAGAAGCCCCATAATATAAGGCATAAGATTCAATGATTTTTAAACAGGTAGGTGCAGTTTTGCCCCAGTTCCGGGGCAAGTCCGCCCTAGCAGCACTGTTTTTAATTTATTAAGAAAATCATAAGTTTCAGAAGTTTTTTTAATCCAAATTAATGCAACTTAAAGAATAAACCATGCGCTAAATAAAAACACTAAGATTATTAGGTTTTAGTGGAATAGATAGAAAATACATCAGTTTAAAGTAAACTTTACAATTTCTGGGTCGGTTTTACCCCACTCCACCTTATATATAGTGAAATAATCATTCGTCTCGAACTTTTCCAGTCTTTTCCGCAGGCGTTCAACGTTCGGAGATGCCGAAATGTGCAGCCCAAGGGGGTAACCCACTTCGTGTAATCGTGAGAGAGTGTTTCCGAAATCATTATGGCATCCTTACGGAATCCCCGTGTAATCGTTTTGTCTCAATTTTTCAAGTTTCTTCACTCGTTAGACAATAAACATTAAATTTTAACATTTTCCAGCTCGTTTTTATTTTCCAAAAGATTCACTTCTCTTAGTGAATATCCAAATATATATCATAGTTCACACCTAGCATGTATTCTTTTCATAATAAGACTGAAGTAGTTGCTGTTGGAATAACAGCGAGTTGAAACGCCGATACACCTTTGCGCGCAATTTTGGGACAATAAACAGTAAATGCACAGTTGAAAAATTTGTGTTAAATTGACCAGATATCACATGTCCCAAACGGTCCACACAAATTTTGGTGATAATTTAACATATGGATATGTTAAATGATCACACTAATACTCTGTTAATATTTTAACACAAAATAAATGCAAATCTCAAAATAATTTGAAATCAATTTTGTGTAAAATTAACATATTTTTAATGAATTTTAAATAATGTAAGTTTTACATTTTACATATGTAATAAGTCAAATGACGATTCGAAATCACTTATGTTGTATAGAACAAAGTCAACATTTTATTCTGTAAATTTTAACAGATAAATCTTGTTTAACAGATAAAACTAATAATATAGAACATATGTGTTTTGTATAAGATTCAAAAATAAGCACACATTGTGTTGTTTTAATATTTCTTTTCACTTATTTTAATAATTTTGCATTCGTGGTCAATTGACACAAGAGCAATATGTTAAATTAACACATGAATGTGTTAAACGTTTAACGCAAAAACTTTAACCGGTATTTCTTTTAACAAGAAAACACAAATTTCCCAACTGTGTACAAATGCAAAATTACTTTTCGTCAAGACCGCGGTCAGACTAGGGGGAAAAGCGAGAAGCAGGGAAACGCGTGACCGAAATCTAGCAGCTCTTTGAGGTTAACGACGTGACATATTTTTCAACGTGCATATAGGAAAATTCATTTGCAATTAGACGAGGTTGTTTGTGGCCGGATGAAATCGTATCAAGTGAAATGAAATCGTGTAATCGGCGGGACAACGTTTTAGCTAGCGGCTACCCCCTGGGTGCAGCCGCAACGCGGACGCGGCGCGTTCGGCCGGGAAACGCCTAAACCGGAACCGGAAAATCATTAACAACGCCGAGCGTGTGGTTACACGGTTACGGGCTCTATCTCGCGCGAGCCGCGCTTTCAGCATTCGTCACATTTTGCAACCCGCGCGGCCGCTATCTCGCGCAAAAGGGGAAGGCCCGCGCGTTCCTCGCGAGCTCTCGCGATAGCGCGCCTCGTCGCGGCGTAAACGAGCCCGGCAACTAGGAAACTACCTGACGTGCAAAAAGGAGGCATCCGCGGAAGCGTTGCGCAAGGGAAGCACGCCGTGACGCGGGCACGTTCTCGGCGAGAAAGAAAGACAGAAAAAAAGAGCGCAACGCGCGCGCGTTCTCCAAGTGGAGCACACACACGCGCGCGCGCGCACAAAAACATCTCGCGAACGGTCGGCACGCGAGGCCCCCGCTCGAAGCGGCTTCTCGCTACGCGCCGGATCCGTCGTGCCACCGAAGCGTTTCGTCAAGGCCCGCCATACGCGGCGCCCGGGATTCTGTCGCAAACGTTCAAGCGCGATTTCGTTCGGCTCGCCCGACCATGTTGCTGAAAAAGGTTAGGCCAATCGGCCGCGCGTACCCGACGACCCGTGCGAAAACAAATTCCCGACCCGGCTGGCCGCGGACGCGCGTGTAAAAGCGGGGAAACCCCGGGACACATACCTAGCAGGATCAACGTTCGGCATGTCCCCGTAGTTCATCCTGACTCGACGTCGGAGCGGCAGTCTGCTCTGCGGGTGCACGCGTACCTGGCTGTCACCGGAGTAAGAGGGAGAGAGACAGCCGCGTGCGAGAGAGCCGGGAGAGAGAGGCGGAGAAGCGAAACGGTGCGTTGCCGTTGTCGTATTTTCGCCTCGAGGGACGACGCGAGGGTGACGAGGTTGACGATTGCCGCCTTCGGTCAGCGCCGCACGAAGCTCGACGGGCGGTGGAGCGCGCTTATACGGAGCATCGCCGTTCGGAACTGGCAGCAACTGCAGCGGCAGCGGCGCGTACCTCTCGCCCCTCCCACTACTCCTCCTTCTCACTCTCTTTCATCAGCCGAGCGTGATCGCGTTCCGCTCCGTCCCGCGGCTCCGAAGTCCGACGAACTCCGAAACCAGGCCCGTCGCGCCGCACGCGTGTACTCCGCGCGTCAACGAGATGCACACGACACGCGCCGCTCCGACTCGCCCCGGCTCACGAGATCACGCAACCAAGCGGCGACGATCGCGCGCCCCGCGCGAGAGACCAGCTGGCCGCGCCGCCCCACCAGCGCGCCCGTGTCGGACCACAATCCGCGAACGCGATTGGCCGCCGCGGACCACGCGAGCACCTCGTTTCCTCTCCGTCGGCATCGACGTCTTCTTCTCCCCTTTTTCCAAGTACAGCCCGACTCACGCCGCGCGCTATTATCAGCGCGGCAGCCACCGGCGAGCGGATTCGCCCGCTGGACCGACGGGGACGGCACCGAGTGTAATTGATATATTGCTATTATTCGCGCCGGACCGTTATCGACGCGAAGCGGCGCCGATTAGCGGAGTTAACGATCGGTATATCGGCACGGTATGTCCCGCACATACCCAGATAGCACAAGCCATGCTCCTATCCGACAGCTTAAGGATATTCTTCGAGAATATTTGGAATATTCCGTAGCTCATTCTTATGTATTTGTCTCGTGTTCGTGAAACATTCGACTGGCACCGCTATCAATCTTTTTCGAATGCGAATGGAACAATCGATCGAATGTAGCGCGTCGGTTGTAAATTTAGGGTGACCAACCGTCCCGAATTTTTCGGGACATCCCGATTTTCGAACCTCTTTAGAGCTGTCTCGAGAGAACCTTAGGCGGGACGCCATTTGTCCCGATTTTTTACATAATGTAAGATAAATAATATAAAATATAATAATACGTCATATATTCTTTAACTAAAATTCATTATAACCTTTATACTTTATGTTCCTGCTTTTATGTTCCGTTGATGATTGTTCTTTCATTTTATTTTAAGAATTTTATTATAGTCTAATTTAGATTAATGATTATTTATATTTGAAAAATAGTAAAAGACTATGTTCTGTTGAATGTTCGATGTTGACTTAATAATGAAGAAACATTTGCCTTATCTACGTGTATGTAATTTATTCAACATACCTATTTAAAAAAATAATATATGTCAAGCTGTATCAAAAATAAATATGTCAAGATATATCATATATGAATAATAAACAAGAAGGGACATGTACACGCATATTACAAGGTAATCTGATATACTAATAATAGTCCCGATTTTTTTGGTTCTGTCCCGATTTTCGGAAACTGATGTCCCGAAATTAAATGTTTAAGAGTTGGTCACCCTAGTTGTAATATACGGTAGGATCGCAGGTTTCCTTTTGCGCAAGATAAGTGTATTACACAATAAACAATGTGCGATACATACGCGAGTCGAAATTTCGGTACCATTTGGACACTTTCAAGGACAATTTACACCTACTGATCTACACACCTACGTAGACCAGCAATAACCTACTTTGATGGCATTATTTTTTTTTACTCCTCTCTTGAATCTTTAATTCGAAAAATTTACTTTAGCCTCTACTTAAAAGGACCTGCTTTAATGCTAAATTGGCAAACGTAGAAATTTCCGACACCGTCGATTTTAAAGTAGGAGTGAATTTTGCACTTGCAGTTCGACCTCTTTCGTACTGTCTTGGGTTCTACTATACAGGGTGTCTCATTTTTAATGATCCACGCAAATATCTCCAAAAATATGAGAGGTACGGAAAAACGTTTCGAACAAAAGTTGTTTGGTTCGAAGGGGGACATGAGGTGGTGCCGTTGACTTGACCTTGGATAGTCATTCGAGGGTCACGTGAAGGTCACCTTCAATTTTTCTCACGGAACCCCCTATTGTTTATTATACTATCTTATTTTACTAATTAATATGAACAACTTTTGTCCGAAACATTTTTTGATTTGCCTAGAACTTTTTGAGATATTCAAGAGAAAATTTATAACTGTTTCAATGTTTGGCTTATGATATCTCGATAACTGTTTGTCGGAGGGAAAAGTTGCGTAGGACTTTTTTTTACTTGATTTGATCTCAGGAATATGCTGTTGCAATAGTGCTCCAATTATGGAAAATTTTTGTGTATTGTAATATACATAAAATTTACATACTTTTTCTTATTTTAAAAGATGATACAAATTTTATTCTTTAATATAAAATTGTACTTCTATCCGTCGGTCATCTTACTGTTCCCTTTTACTTAATACGGAATTGTGTTCCTTCTATTGTTCGAAAACCTGTGTGCACCGTGAAAAAGCCTCCCGCGTTTTTCCCATGTAACGAGAAGCTCGCATTCTTTTCCCCGCTTTTGTTCTGCTCTCTTCCCCGCGTTTCAATGATTTTTCCAACAATGAAACAACGCGGACTGCTAAAGCGGTTTGTTACATTGAAACGCGTGATTGGCTACTAAATTCATCCGCGCTTACTAGTTGATATTAGATACATCCATAGCTGCGTTCGGCATTGCAAATCCAGGCGTTGGAATGCTCTCCCTCCTTTTCTATCTCATTCTCTTCTCTCGCTCACTCGAATGCAAAAGAGTCGACATTTTGGTACTATTTTAACACTTTTAAGGATAATTTATACCCACTTAGCTGATCTATACATAACGCAGTTTTCTTACAGGTGGAGTTCTTATCGTCAGTGAATTCACATATTCAAATCGATAAACGATTTGTAAATATATTAAAAAATGCTACAATTTGGCATTTGTAGATGCTACATTTAGCATTCAATCCCTCCTTCCCCGTACTGTAATTTAATTTTGTTGCGAAAAATATTACCTCAGCCAGGATTCGAATCTGAGACCTACCTCAATCCGTGACGGTTGGTCGTCACAAGAATTTTAACCTGAGCCTCTTGATAAAAAATCCTAGATAGCATACATGTCTAAAAGACATATCTTTAAGACGGTTGCATTAAGTAGTCTTTTAGATATGTACGTCTAAAAGTTGTCTTAAATATGACGTCCTTTTGATATGCATTGCTATCTGAGGAGAATCCTGAAAGAATTTTCTTTTTACATTCCTTTCAATATCTGTTCTAAAAAGATTCTTAAGGATTTGGAAGGAATTCGTCAATTTTGGACTCTTTTTCCCGAAACAATATATGAAATCTTTTTATACTCCATAAGAAGCTTCGAAAAGAAATTGTTCTGAAGTTCATTTTAAACAGATTACTCCCTAAAGAGATTCCTAAAAGCAATCCGTTTCACTCATGATGTTTTGTTCGCCAAACGTTAAATAAGACTAAACGGTGTTTCATCCCAGGTAGCACACACACAGTTCTATGAATGTTCTTCTGGAGTGCAAATATTCTTAATTTCAGAATATTCCAATCGAATATTCTATAAATATATATATAGATTGTTACAATTATAACTCGTATATTCAAAACAGAGAAGAACGTTTTTAGAATATTCATCGAGTTTATGTATTGCACATTGTTTACTGCGTAATACATTTATCTTATGCAAAAGGCAGTGAAACCTGTGACCATACCATGGGTTTATTTTCTGCTCCTGCACTGGTGAACTAGTGCAGTAAGAGAAGAAAACATACTTGTCTTACTCTAATTTATTGCACTAGTTCACCAGTGTAGTAGCAGAAAACAAACCTCATATATATGTATATGTATATAACCGACATGCTATATTCGATAGATTATTCTATTCACATTCGAAAAAGATTTATTGTGGTGCCAGTCAAATGTTCCGCGAACGTAAGATAAATATATAAGAATGACCAATGTGGAATATTCCAAATATTCTTGAAGAATATTCTTAAAATGTTCACAGGAGTGTCTTGTGCTATCTGGGTATAGCGATAGAATAATATAAATGCTTCCAAATGTTTGTAGCGTAGAATATCTCAGCAAAATGACAATGAGCTGTACTTACGTTGCAACGAATGTCCTATATGGGCGAATTGGCTCACCAATGTTCTCTGCCGGCCGCTGTAAATATAGCGCGACTCGTGCTTTACGGACGCCTTATCGAACGCGATTAGCTGGTTTTGTTACGAAGTACGAAAACGTTTCCACATAGCGCAGAACGCTTTAACGATCTCGCAGTAAGACTGCCCAAGCGATACAAATTTATGTCCAAAATACATTTAAAAATAACTTCAGTGTTTTCCTGACCATATCTGGTATTTTTAATAATAAAAAAAATTTATTGCGGAAAATATTACCTCGACCGCGGTTTGAACCTGGACTTCCCTACAATCTAGGCGGGCGTCTCACCAATTCGACCACTGAGGCATGTTTAAACAACGCAAAGTTTAAAAACGTTTAAAAATCGTCCTAGTAGCACAGTGCATTGGCTAAACATTGGTCCAATGTTGGTTATATTAGAAATGCGTTGGCCGATATTCAACGTAATAATATTGGCCACGAAATAAATGTAAATATTGCACGATAATAATTATGCAATATTAGATTTATATTGCAAGTGCATTGGCCAATATTTCACAATGTAATATGAATGTTGGCCTAATATTGATACAATATTGTATTAATATCAGACCAATAGAGTTACATTGACATATTGGCTAAATAAGAGAAGACGTCCATCTTACAGTATTGGACCAATATTGGCTACATTTACATTATTTCCCAATGTCGCGTTATCTTGTGCTACTAGGGCAATTTTGAACGTGTAAGTTGAAAACATGGCCGTTTAAAATTTAACATCTTTTTTAACCATTAAAAACGTATATCATACGTATTTTTATATTCCGTGTATCATGAAAATGTATCGGTTGAACATTTTTTTTAAACAATTATTAAATGTAAATGGTCTGCTTAGGTGGGACAGTCTGTTGCTGCACTATTGCTGGTTTTTCTGTACTGTACGAGTCACGCGAGACCATATTCTAACAAGCCGCTTATACAATCGATCGTCGGCAATACTTATAATTAGCAATAGTAATTTTAGAGACGAATCTGACATTGATTGATTCGACGATACAACAGTGCGCACCTCATTGAATCTCCTTTTACATAGATATTCCGTCATTGCGCGTTTCCTATCTGCAGAATGACGTTTGCAAATGAAATTTGACTTTTCTTACTTCAGTCTTTTTATAAACAACACGCGAGATGTATGCGTGCAAATAAAAAAAAAGTGAAAACTTAAACGATATCTGCCTAATATCAGCAAAATGATAAAATTAGTTTGCACAATAAAAACAGCAAGTGAGCTGTGAAAATTAATGGAACGATCGATATGCCTACACGTGCATGTATAATTATGACTCTTTAAGAGCGCAAGCTCGATTTGCTTTAATCGCTCGACACTATCGTGACTTCGATATTTTCGTGATGAAACTTTTGACTCTAATTAACCCCTTCGGGGAGGGGGGGATACGCAGTTGAAATGATTTATTTAATATTTTGCGTCGTACGACCGCATTCACGGGTAATGTCTCGGTTACATAAGTGTATGCACGAAAAATCTTCATTCGTCGCCAAAAAGCATCGGGATAAAACTTTTAAACTATACTAAATTTTGAGACACCCGCCGAGAGTGTAGAGAGGTCCAGGTTCGAACCCTGGCTGAGGTAATATTTTTCGCAATAAACTTCTCGCCAGATATGGTCGAATAATATTATCTTTTTCGATATTAAAAAAGTTTTTCCACAAGAAACTATTTAAAAGAACAACTAAAATGAGTAAGTGCACGTAATTGTGTAATTATGACTCTTTAAGAGCGCAAGTTCGATTTGCTTTAATCGCTCGACACTATCGTGACTTCGATATTTTCGTGAAGAAACTTTTGACTCTAATTAACCCCTTCGGAGGGGGGGGGGGATACGCAGCAACCTGTCACAAGGACATTGTCATTACACGTAATTAGTCCACTATTAAAAAACTTAAAGTAATTAACATAATTATTTTAATTTTTTTAATACCTGTAATGTATGAGAAAACTGTACTCTTATCAAATATAATGCACCGAAGGCCTTCATTTAGCGGAAAAATACATAGTGAGAAGACTTTGAAACTGTTCTAAATTGTTCTGAAAAAAAAATGGAGGACAATTTAAAACGCTAATAAGAGAATACGAACTGTAATACGGACGTAAACTTGTAGAAAACTCCCATAAAGTTTAAGTCAAAACGTCATGTTGCCCCACGATTGCACGATTTTCAAGCTATATTTTAAGAGGAAATTCTCTCCGTGTACATGCAGCTTCTTTTGCTTCGTGGCGATTAACGTGGTAAAATTCCGATCGTTTTTTTTCCCCACTGTCTTCCTGTATCTTCCTCTCACGTGAAGGAGGAATGATCATTGATTTCCACTTCAGAAGATCGTGGTCATTACGTTGAGGAAGGTCGATGGTCACGCCGGATAGGAATATTACTCCGCTCGTCTTCCGTAATATTTTTTTCAAGCTGTTGGAAGTTCCCGCGTTTGACGTTTCCGCATTCGCGATATTAATGATTTGATCAATTAATTTGACGCGAAGGTCGCCCTGTAAGTGTGCGTCAAGGTCGCAACCTTCAGTGGGCTGAAGTGCACTTGCAGTGAAGTGGACGCAAAATTTCTTTGCAGCCTTTCTAATTTTTTCTTTACTTCTTTTTTTAGAAAGATTTCGATAAATTAATTTATCAGCCGTCCGATTCCATTCTTCTCCTTATTTCCATTCGCGCGTAAGAGAACGTGTAAACGCGCGTTCCTTATCACCGTAATAAAGATTGGCTATGGATAAAACAGTTCCAGAAGTCGACAAGTATACCGATTTGCATATTTATAAACCAGTCGTTTTGCGATACCGCAAAAATACTACGCAAGCAGAGATGCAAAACACGATGACAACAATTAAGTATACCATCCAAAATGTATTATTTCTCATTAATAGTTGATTATACTCAATATATCAGCTGTATGGTAATATAGAGTTAAAGTAAATGACGTAGAAGTGTCGCGTACGTACGCAATAAAAAAAACTACAAACACACACACACACACACACATTTACACACATTCTCTAAGGCTGATCTATATATATTTTTTAATAATATTTCTCTTTCCTTTCTCACCACATCTTTTGCTTTCTGTAAACCCCTAGCTGTGTGTTTGTTAGTTTTAAAAGGAGGAAGTGTGATATAATGCAGCCAAGAATACTGGCATTCTCTTTTTGGAACACGTTCGTATGTGTAGGTGCAGCTACTTGGCGTCCGTTACCAGCGTATCACATGTACGATGCGTGAAACACTTTAAATTGCAATAATCTGACGAGCGCTGGAAAAGCACAGATTTTAGTACATTACATCCCAGACAGTATGAAAAAAAAATTGTTTAACTGAATTATGGAATGAGTTCTTTTTCCATCTCGTTTCTGTTTTAAAGGCATTCTTAAGAGTTCAAAAAGCTTTTCCCGAGCCGAAATTTTGGCCCTACGTTGAACCTTTAATTCTATTATATGGTAGGTCTTGAGACAGTGAAAGAGATCGAACTACAAGTACAAAATTTACTCCTACTTTAAAACCGATGGTGTCGGAAATTTCTACTTTTACCAATTTAGCATTAAAGTAGGTCCTTTTAAGTAGGAGCTAAAGTAAATTTTTTAAATTAAAGATTTAAGGGAGGCGTAAAAAATATAATGCCATCAAAGTAGGTTATTACTAATCTATGTAGGTGTATAGATCAGCTAAGTAGGTGTAAATTATCCTTAAACGTGTCAAAATAGTACCAAAATTTCGACTCGGGTTATTGTACCAATTCTCTCAGAGCTCTTTTTCTG